CTATTGAAGAAAAAACATAGATAGATAGATAGATAGATAGATAGATAGATAGATAGATAGATAGATAGATAGATAGATAGATAGATAGATAGATAGATAGATAGATAGTAGACAGACAGACAGACAGACAGACAGACAGACAGACAGACAGACAGACAGACAGACAGACAGACAGACAGACAGACAGGCAGACAGACAGACAGACAGATAGATAGATAGATCGATAGATCGATAGATAGATATCTATTGACTAATTGATTGATTGATTGGTTGATTGATCGATTTCCTGCCTGCTTGCTTCTCTGCTTGCTTGTTTGGTTGTTTGAGTGATTGATCGATTCATCGATCAATTAATAATTGATAGATTGACAGAGTGGAAGATGTAAGAATTGTTTATTTGACTGGCATCATTAGGAGCGACTTTTTTGGCTCGTTCTGCTGAACCGACAGCCAGAATTATAGCCACTCGTATAGCTTTAACGTCTAACTCATCGACACAGAGAACAATGTACAAAGCGGAGTCATTTTGAGACCATTTTTGCGCTTCTATGTTCCATACCCTTATTCTTCTTATCTGTTTCCTATTCAACAACCTGGCCAGCTAGTTTCAAAAGCGCTGTAAAACTTTAACGTCATTCGCCTGGTGACACTGTGCAAAGATGTATTTGGAAATAGTGCTGCATCGTCCCCTTTGTTTTTGTTGTTGCTGTTGTTGTTGTTGTTGTTGTTGTTTTGCTGGTTGATTAATTTATCCTTTCGTGATGTTACTGTTACTGTTATTTTTAGCTGCATTAGTTGGTAATAGTCTTTCGTTGTAGAAATATCCCGCAGAGGATAAAAAGGAAGCTAACATAGACAAAAGAAGACAGCACACCAGCCAAACCTACCAAAAAGCCGAAAATTATAGTGATCCAGACCATAAGGCCCTTCAGGGGCGATAAGCCCTTCGTGCAAAGACTAAATACGAATGGGGACAGAGAATACAATCACAGATTGAACAGACCAGATTCTACGATTATGAATAAGGTATGAGAACATGGGCGCAATCAGAAATGAATGTTATTCTTTTGATATTAGAGAGCAGTACGAATCTAGTACTGTCGGGCAGATATCGATACTGAGTTGTCACAAAGAGTCTACATAACAAGAGGGTCCACTCCTCTCTTTGAGCCAATTAAAAAAGTGTCCTCAAAATTCGGTGGCGCCCTCTTCGCAAAAGCGCGCCCTTTGCGAACAGAGTTACCCTCATCATCATCAATGGCTTTCATCCCTGGCAGTGTAGAGGCCACGTACAAGCTCCTTCCATTTATCTCTGTCCTGAGCCATCCTTCCAAGTGAGCTTCATTTCTCTCATGTCCCTTTCCACGCTTCTCCTCCATGTTTCCCGTGGCCTACCCCTGCCTCGTGCTCCTTGTGGGTTCCACTGCAATTACTGTCTTGTGATGTTTCCACTGGGCTTTCTTAAGGTGTGTCCCATCCATCGCCACTTTCTTAGTCCTATTTCTACTTCTATATCCTTTTGTCCTGTCCTTTCCCACAGCTCTTCATTTCTTATTCTATCCTGCCACTTGATTCTTAGAATACTCCTCATACATCTGTTGATGAAAGTCTGGACTTTATTCAGTACTGTCTTCGTTGTCTTCCAAGTTTCGCAGCCGTAGAGGAGCACAGACTTGACGTTGGAGTTAAAGAGTCGAATCTTGGTGCGCAGTGAGATGTTGCTTGCTTTCCAGACTTTTGATAACTACTTGAAGGCTGAACTTGTCTTGGCGGTTCTTGCTTTAACATCTGCCTCGGTTCCACCTTTACCATCGATGACACGTCCAGGGGAGTGTCTTCCACTGTCACAGCAGGGCTTGAAACTTTTCCTAACTTCACTACTTTTAACTTGCTTGGATGCATACGTAGGCCAATCACTCCTTGATAGGCTGTTGAGTTCCTTGGTCTTTTCTTGCATCTCAGCATGTGTGTGAGAGAGCAGTGCAAGGTCATCGGCGAAGTCCAAGTCGTCCAGCTGCTGCCAAGGGATCCATTGTATTCCATTACGTTTGCCTCTGTGGCTTCTTTCATGACCCAGTCAATTGCCAGTATGAAGAGAAAAGGTGAGAGAAAGCATCCTTGTCGCACTCCTGTCTGTACCTGGAATGGTTCTGAGAGTTGTTCTCCGTGGAAGACTTGGCAGTTTGTTCCATCATAGGTGGCCTTCACAAGCCTGACGATTTTCTCAGGTATCCCAAAATGCCGCATGAGTTTCCACAGAGTTTCCCTGTCCACGCTGTCAAACGCCTTTTCATAGTCAATGAAGTTGACCACGAGAGTTACCCTTCTTGTGTTAAAAAAATCAAAGTGAAACTAACAGGTTTTGAATAAATAAGTCCGTTTGTGTCTCCTTATGTTTTCTTGAGCAATGTTTATATCCACTGCCGGCCTGCTAAGCCAGTCGCAGTTTCACCAGAGCCCCGTTGGCCAGCAACGTTTCGGGGTGACCCGGGTCGGCCTTCACGGCTAGCTTAACGCCTCAGTGACATAAAGGCACACCGTACTTCACCCAGACCCAGCTATCCCCTACTTTGTCCTGTTTCCATCTCCCACGGCGTGGACGAGGGGTTGGACTTCGAGGGCCCTCTCCTGAAAAATCCCAATATCCCCATGAGCACCAAGGCGAAGCTCATCAACGCCATTTTCCTTCCAACGCTCACATATCAGTGCCAGACATGGACTCTAACAAAAGCTCTAGAGAGGAAACTGGTCACATGCGAGATGAAATGCTTAAGAAGAGCGGTCAACAAAACAAGAAGAGACAAAATTAAAAATGAAGTCATAAGGGACACCGTGGGAGCAACACCAGTCCTACCACACATTGAAAAACAAAAGGTCAAGTGGTTCGGACACCTCACGCGGATGCCCTCAAACCATCCAGCTCTGAGAGCATACAACATTAAATATTCTGGATGGAGAGCCAGAGGAAGACCAAGGCGACGAAGGAGTGAATCTGTGGCAGACACCCTTAAAGATCATGGGATGTCCCTCCTACAGGCCACACGACTTGCTGCAGACAGACACCTGTGTCTCCCCGCGACACCCCAGGGTACAAGCGGAAGAAAAAAGTAAAAAGTGAAGTAAGAATAAATAAGAATTCAAATTTCGGAAAAACGCTTTTCTTAAATGGTTACGCTGACAAAAACCTCTGACTGTTTTCTAAGTTTAATTTGACTTTAGAATGAAAGGCGAGAGATCATTTTAAAAAATTTAAAGCCTAAAACTCCGCACTGAGCGAGCCCGAACTGCTTATGAACAGCAGTCGATCTGCGCAGGCAAGGAGGTGCTATTCCTATTCTTCTTCTGAAGAAACGAAAGAGAGCTTCAAAAAAGACAGCAGTGCCATCTGAAGCAAAGAGCAGACTTCCGGTGGACATTTTTTTGGCTGAGTGGACCATCTTGTTATGTACTATCTTTGGTTGTCAGTGCGATGCGAAGTCTTTTACCGATTCTTGGGCATCGATGTCACTTGCATTTATTTGTTCTTTCTTTCAGATTGATCGATTATGTGTGTGTGTGTATGCGTGTGTGAGTGTGTGTGTGTGTGTGTGTGTGAGAGAGAGTGAGTGTGTGTGTGTGTGTGTGTGTGTGTGTGTGTGTGTGTGTGTGTGTGTGTGAGCGTGTGGAATTGCGCTATATAAATGATATTCATTATAATAACTGTACATTATAACCTACAATTTAAGGACATCAGCGGATGAAAATAAGTTTCGTTTACCCTTTATGAAACTTAAAACAATGGGTGAAAGGGCATTTGAATATCAAGGCCCCAAGATCTGGAATGCTTTGCCCAGTAGTTTAAGAGACATCAAATCCTTTATTTCATTCAAATGTCAGCAACAGTCATGTCTATTTTAAATTTAATTAGATAATGATTTGGAGTGGAATCTTCTTTTAGTCGCAACTCAATGTACAGATTATACTGTTGTTTTGTACAGCGGTCAGAGCCAATGAACTTTAATCGTGGTTGAGCGTTATATAAATGCCATGTTTTATTATCGTATTATGTATCTCTGGCGTACCAAACAAAATTACCTCGCGAGGATTACAATATGTCAAATCAAATTACATTTTTATTGTTTCCTTATCTTGCAGATTGAATGAAAACCAATCCAGTACTTGCGTACATGCGCCGCAGCTACAGTACAGGTGTATCGGTTTTGCTATTGTTCTGTTGTTGTTGTTGTTGCTGTTGATGTTGCTGTTGTTGTTTTTGCTGCTGTTGTTGCTGTCTTGTGCTGTTAATATTTTGTAGGCGCGACAAAGATCACTTTACGGAGGCTCTTGTGCTCAAGACGTTACGGTGTCCGCCTCTAATTTACTTTGTCCCAGGTTCGAAATCTGACAGCGACCGAAACTTTTTTTCTCAAAAATTTTCTCCTTTCACCTCATCTCCTGCCTTTTAACCATGTTCTGTAATCTTCTTTTGTCGCCACTTACTTACCTACCCTAAGGTCAGGGGTGTGGCTGAAAGGCAGTAGTAAGAAGGAGCCAATTAGTAGTCGTAATAGGCTACAGAAAAAGCCAGGAGCCCAGAGAAGAGGGTAAGATGGTACCTTATGCAGTTGCGAGTGCCGTAAAGCATTTTCCAAGACCACTGTACAATTATTCAAAAAGGGAAACCTTTCAGATTAACGCCCACCTCTCATAGGACATGCGTCATGCAAGTAGTTCAGTATTCATAAACGTATGAAAAAATATTCTGCTGCACGTTTTGATATGCTGTTAAGACGATAGCGATAAATGTATGCTGCAAGCGAGACGTTAATCATTGCATAGTTGGCGCAAAAAACGAAAGTCATTAAGAGAAAACAGTACCAACCAGGGGCTAGAGACCGCAACTCACTATTGTGTGGTCATCATAAATACATTACAAAACAGAAGCTATGGCAAGAAACTATATGTTCATCAATGAGTCACATGTTCTTCAAATAAACATAAGCAAGGGGACACGGGGGAGG